TTGGTTGAACTTAGTTTTGATAGATGATGTCATAACTCAGAAACTACTGCTACACTCCTTCTAACATACAGTCTGTCATGTGGATGCCCGTGATCACATAGTCAGTGATGATGATGATGATGATCAGGAATGAGAGATGGCCAGAAGATTGATTTCCATGGAGCCAGGACTTGAACCAGGTGATGTCATCTTTGTCTTGGACCAGTGAGATCATTCAAGTTGGAGGACCAGGATTGGACACCCCTGTTCTAAAGAATATTTGATTTCCATTGTAGAAAGAATACCCAGGTTTGGACTAATTCCCCCTCCTTGTTTGATAGTTTTCCAGAGTAAGTTACCATTTCCCTTAATAATTGGTTTAATAAAGTAATCAGCTTTGGAGAGCAGATTTAAGAGCAGCCTTCAATGCTCAGTCTCTGCCTCATCAACCTCCACAGGAGCTCGTTCAACCAGGGCCACTGCAACTAGTCGGGTCCGACGACATGAAGGCCAAACATCATACAGACGCCTTTTTATGTCCTCTCAGCCAGCAGACACCGCGAAAACTACAACAACAAAGGTACAAAACACTTCAAATACACCAAGTTTCCCAAAAAAGTGTCTCTAATTAGACGGATTCAAGTCTTTCAAGTTAGTTTCAGTCATTAGACGGGTACAAATAAGCCAACTTGCAACAACAATGCGCTGAACCGTCCACACAAAACACTTGGACTAACATCACAAACAAATTAAACAAATACAACTTAAAAGTTACAGTTACCGTGTGTGCCTCTCGGACTGGGCAGAGTCGCTGTTTTTTGGGTTCTCTGTAGCCCTACAGCACCTGACCCAAAAGCCCACAGGTGACCCTGAACTAACCTGTGGTCACGTGACCTGTTACATTAATAAACAGCATTACATTTTTAACCAAACATCAGTTTGAGAGTTGTACATTTTTAAAGTTACTTTTTTAACGTCTTATTTATTGTATTTTAATCAGTTTCAATGACAATATGAATTCAAACATTTATAAAAGTATGAATTATTAATAATATTAATGTTATGAACTATGAAAATAACAGTCTTTGGGATAATTAAAGACTTCTTTCTACAAAAGTCTATTTTAGTCTCACTACCTCTGGCGATTAGAACATCAGATGCCTTTTCTATGTCATTAGACTGCTGGAAGTCAGGGATCTTGCAGGTTGTTTTTGCTCCTCTTTACTGCATTGACAGACACCTCTGCACAACCACATCTGTATAATAATTACTGTACGATCATTCCTCATCTAAACTCAACTTCCATCCATACCATCTACTTTCAAGCTCTCTGAGGCATGGATGTGCTCTAATTACAGCTTCAGCTGAGTTACCCACTTCCCTCTCGTTTGGGTTTGGTTTCAAGCTGTGCATTGCTTCAGTCCTCTTTTCCAGAATGTTGTGTTTTCAGGATCTTGTCAATTTCAGTGTCTCTCCAGAGCTTTCAAAAACACAGCTTCTTTTGTCAAGTGCATAGTTCACTCTGAATGGAAATAGTTGCCTCAGGAAAAGTAACATCTACGCGTAGCTCAAATTTGGGAAGCATCCATCTTCTTTCTGTCCTGTCCTGTTTAACATAAAAATCTTAATGCAGTTTGTTCTCAAACAAACAAAAGAGACTTAATAAAAGGTCCATAGAAACAAGGGGTCTAGAGTTTGTCCAGGGAAAATGTAAAGGAAAAACTCTTACATGTAATCGTCGTGTCATGAACAGTATCCCCACATAGCCTTTATTTGTATTTATTCCAGAATATTTTAGATAGAATTTTCAGAAACTTAGTAAAAAAAATGCATTTACTGGGCAAATTATCTGATTTCAAGTCTTTTTTTTTTAAATTTATTTATAATGATTCTAAATGTTATAACAATACCGTATGTAAAATGAGTAGTAAAACACACTCCTTCCCAGGCTGACCACTGAGAAACATCCCTATAACATGATGCTGCCACCCCCATGCTTCACAGTGGGGATGGTGTGTTTGTGATGATGTACAGTGTTTGGTGACCCCCAAACATAACATCAAGTCTGATTGACAAAAAGCTCAATTTTTTTGTCTCATCAGGCCAAAAAAAATCTTTCAGTTGACTGTAGAGTCTCTCACATTTATAAAGCTTTGAGTGGTGACAAACAGACAACAGCTGATGTCGGCACAGTCTCTTCTACTCGCCACTGAAGCTTGTCACTCCTTCAGAGGAGTCAGAAGTGTCTTGGTGGCCTACCTCACTCGTCCTCTTCTTGCATGATCACACAGTTTTTAGGGATTGCTTGCTCTAGGAATATTGATGAGTGTGTCAGATTTCCTCCACTTCTTAATGATGGACTTAACTGTGCTAAAAGGGATATATTTTGACCTGCATTTCACTAATTGTGTGACTTTTAGCACCAGTTGGCTGCACCTGTTCTAAGGCAGGCGTGTCACTTTGATGGGGTTGAACACTTCTGCTGCAACCACTTATTTAATACTTTGTGTTTTTAATTATTCAGCATTACTTTGTAAGAAAGTGTTTTCACTTTGACATGAAAGAGTCTGTTTTTGGTAAATTCTTGCCTAAAAATCCTAAATAAATTGACCAAAATTCAAGCTGAAAACTGTGTGTGAACCTTCCTCCAATTTCATCAAACAAAGCTCACTAAGCATGCCACATTGTGTGACTCTTATTTTTAAAAAGTACAAAACTATTTGGAAAGTAAATGAATCTTTTTCTGCATTTTTTTTTACAGGTGGCAGACAAGCAAATGATTTATTGTGCCTCTAGCTGGCGGGATAAACTTGATCTTATGTTGGAAGTGTTCAAATTCTCCTTTTTACCAGCTGAGGGAGCCACACCAACACTTGATGCACTTTTTTCCAAAACTCCAAAACCTTATTAAAGCGCTGTACATTTGATTAAGTCACCACTTCACCACAGTGAAGGAGAGTAAGTGTCAGACTGTACCACCTCACTTTATTATCTCATAGAGCGTCATCTCTTCATTTCTTCCTCTTTCCAGCTCATTTTAGGCTCTTCAACAGGTTAGATGCACTGCGCCACCTGTCAGCTCGCAGCACTGAAGGTAATCTCTCGGCCTAATTAAATCTTAAGCAATCAGGGCCACAGATGGAGCCGATCAGCGTGGGACGAGCCGCCTGCCAGGAGGTGTGTTCAGTGCGCGCAGTCGGCGCTCTGCGGACACTCAGACGCGCCGTGTAGTGTGAAGGAGCCCAGGGGATTTGCGCTGCACGATGTTTGGATTTCTAGTCTCCAGAATCACGCAACAAGCTGCTGAAATACTGTGATGGAGAATGACTGCTGGCTGCTTTCCTCCGCGCAAAGATGCACCATGCGTTTGGCACGTTTTTGTCCGGAAAAGTGCTCTAAAACGTGAGTTTGGAGTTTCACATTGACTCGGGGGAAATATGTAGCCCAACTTCGATTTCCCAAAGAGCTCAGAGCCATGTGTAGAGGAGGAATGGGTCGCAAGGATGCGCCAACTTCGCTCCTCCGGACGCTCGTCCTGTCGCTGCTTTGCGCGCAGTCGTTCGGACAGGTCTTCAACCTGACGCTGTCTGTTAAAGAGGGTCTGCCTGCTAAAACCATCGTTGGGGATCTGGGAGCGGGGTTAAGCAGGCCAAGCACTGGATTCTTCATCTCAGAGAGCAGAGACTCGTATGTGTTCAGGGACTTGGAAATAGACGCGGACACGGGGATCATCTCCACGGCTGTGATCCTGGACAGAGAGAGCAGAGATAAGTATGAATTTGTGGCAGCCACGCTCACTGGAGAGATGATCAGAGTGAACATAGAGGTGAAAGATGTGAACGACCATTCACCTGTGTTCCCCTCAGAGCAGCTTGAGCTGGACATATCAGAGCTGAGCCCACCAGGGAGTCGGTTCCAGCTGGAAGGTGCTAAAGATCAGGATGAGGGAGAGTTTGGCACGCAGGGATACAGGATCACAGACAGTGAAATGGCTGAGTTGTTCCACTTGGATTATCGCAGTGGATCAGAGAACCACCTCAACCTGGATTTGGTCCTGAGTAGCAAGCTAGACAGAGAAACACAGGACTTCTACTCCCTGACCATTGAGGCCTTCGATGGCGGGATCCCAGCCAGGACAGGGACTCTTCAGGTGAACGTCCACGTCCTGGATGAGAACGACAACCCTCCTGTGTTCAACCAGACTGAATACCACGCCTCGGTGCGAGAGGATGCTCCCGTCATGTCTGCTGTGTGTCAGGTGTACGCCACCGACCTCGACCTGGACGACAATGGCAGAATCACTTATGAGATCAACAGGAGGCAGAGCGACCCAAATGAAGTTTTCTCCATCAATGAAACCACCGGGGTGGTTTACCTCAACAAGCTGCTCGACTTTGAGGCGCAGGCCTTTCACGAGCTGATCATCAGCGCGAGAGACAACGGGGCTCAGCCTGAGCACAGCAGCACTTTTGTGGGCGTCAAGGTGCTTAATATCAACGATAACAGTCCCAGCATCAGTGTGCTGTTTCTCAGTGAGACAGGGGATGCAGTGGTTTCAGAGGCAGCAGCGATTGGGGACTATGTTGCTCGGATTTCAGTGTCAGACCCTGATCTTGAGGGGGAGCAGGTCACTGTCACACTAGAGGGAGGAGATGGGAAGTTTACCTTGAAGCAGACAGATGATTTTCTTTATGCTTTGTGTGTTAACTCTGAGCTAGACCGGGAAGAGCAGGATCTGTATGAGCTGAAGGTGCAAGCGTCAGACTTTGGGAGCCCTCCTCTGAGCAGTGAGATGGTCTTCCTCCTGAAGGTGTCTGACACAAATGACTGCTACCCAGTCTTTGAGAAGGATGTGCATGTTATAAGCATTGCCGAGGACGCTCCTCAGGGGAGCTCCCTCATCCAGCTTCAGGCCCGAGACGCCGATGAAGGCGCCAACTCAAACATCAGATACTCCATCCTGAGGTCCAACCAGGACAGCCTGATCAGCATCGACCCGGAGTCGGGCCTGGTCACCACGGCTGCATCTCTAGACAGGGAGACACAGATGGAGGTGTGGTTCCTGGTGGTGGCGGTGGACGGAGGAGAACCGGCTCTGTCATCTACTGCTACAGTCACAGTGCTGGTGGAGGATGTGAATGACAACGAGCCGGTGTTCCAGCAGCAGCTGTACAACGTGTCCATACCAGAGCACAGTGACGTGGGAAGCTGCTTTTTACAAGTATGTCGGAGAATATGTAGCATCAAGGCTGGTTCAAGACACTATAATATCTTCCCTTACTGGTATAGTTGGTTGGTCTGGTGTGTGGGATATGCGCAGCTGCCTCCGCTGCATTCTTGGGGCAAATTTCTGTCTTTATAAGATACTACATAGAGTCCTGACAGGAAATGCAGAGAGAATCACAGAAGACTTGAACAGCAGTGACATTCTGAAGCTCTAATGCTGCGATGATGCAGCTCACCCAATATAAGTGCTCAGGGTTTATTTTATTAGTGTGCTAAGCATTGAAAAATGAACTTTTTTTTAGGTTCAGCAGCAACTGGTCGTTTCTGAAACATTGTTCTGCTCACTCTGGAACATAATGTGTTTTCTCAAGCAGTCCCAATGAAAACCTTTTCCAGCAACACCAGGTGTTGTTGATATAATCCCATTTTAAGGGCTATGAGCGTCTCACACACACACACACACACACACACACACACACACACACAAATTCACTCAGAAATCTCATAACTTACCTGCAAGGTGATATAACACAGGTTAAATTAAGAAATATGTTCTTTCATAATGTGGTTGAACTGACCTCTAATATTTTTTTTTAACTTCTCCAACTAGAGTCATTTATTCATTCTGATGATGAAATTAAAGTATCCAGTATAGCTGTGGTTGGGAAACACTTCATAGGTCTTTATATGACAAATATGAAGAACCAGACGTTTACATACACTGTCTAAAAAGACTCCTAACCTTTTTTTCTCACTATCTGACAGTAAATGTGACCAAACTTTTCCTGTTTTAGGTCAGTTTGGATTAACAAAATTATCTCTATTTGCTAAATGTCAAAATAATGAGAGAGAGAATTTTTTAGATATTTTATTTCTTCAAAGTCAGCAGTTTAGTGAGAAAAAAAGTGTTTTATGTCTTTTTACACAGTGTATGTAAACTTTTGGTTTCCACTGTAGTTCTACCACTCAGAACGAGCTCCAAGTTTATGTGAAATGCAGGTATAAAGATTAAAATTTAACAGTCTAGGAAGCAATAAAAACACTCGCATATACATGTCACAAGAACACAAGCAGACATTAACAAATGCACACACAGTTAAATGATGAGTCTGACTTGACTCTCCAGCTATAGATCAACTATCATTTACAAAAGAGATGTGCAGTTTAAGAATTCCTCACTGTGGCCGTCCACCAACTCGTGCTCTCTGACTTGCTGTCTTACATCTCATAACACAAAAGTAGCCTTCAGTCCGTTTGCACAAAGGCATCGGTGTTCTTGCTGAACACACACTACATGCACCCTCTTCGCAGTTCAGCGCTGAGGCCTTAATATGACAGTTGTGATGCCTGGTACGGCTCGGCTGCAGCCTGGCACCAGCTGAAGCCCATTACAAAAGAAGCCTTTTTTTTAGCAGTGCATTTTCTGTAAACATACTTGATATTTAGCAATTAGCCGAGAACTAGAAATGAATTCTGGTCACTGTTTTCAGGCTGAACTTTAAGAGTGTTGTTCTGCAGAAGAAGTTCAGCCTTTTATTTTCAAGTCAGCTCTCAGCCAATGCAAAGTACTTTTGGAAAAGTGAGAATCAGGAGGTGAAGAAGTAGAAGGAAGAACTGAGAACGTGTCGACAATGAAACCGATGACAAACGTATTATTTTACATATGAGATGTGTACTATTTTCCCAGAACTGACTGTAGTTAGAAACATGCTGGGTGTGCTTCATGTGTAAGTAGACATTGACCTACGTCTCTAAGACTTTCTGTGACCAGAGTTCAAAGCCTCTGGGATGATATCACCTTTATGACTTGAAAGTGAGCGCTCTATCTGTGAAATGCGCCTCTTGTCACGGGCGCAGACGAGCATGAAAGGAGCTCGGCCGAATCTGGGGCGTGTTTCTACTCCAACGTTTTCCACGTTGGTGATAATCCTCGCCCTTTGATTGTGGGGATTTTTTATGCTTTTATTATGTTGACCTTCTTCTGTCAGAACAAGACCAGTATTATGATTCACAGGTACTACAAAGATAACGTCTAGAAACCGACAGTAACTACTATATGGCACCGCTGTCGATCATACATGCATAGTTACAGTTAACTGGAAGGAGATGTAGTATGAGCAGAAACTCATGCAGCAATAATAAAACATTCACCTCCACATTTATATGGAGATGTAGCTTTAGAGCTAAACATGCAGAAAATTGGCCATTGACTATTTTGAGAGTTAAAGCTATTTATCAGGCAACAAAAGTAAAAAATAAAATTAAAGTCTTAGCCTCAAATTTGTTGTGATAGTAAACTATATGTGTTTTTTTGGTGTTTGACTGCTTTTTGGAAAAAACAAACAGTTCAAGGAGCTTTGGATATTTTTGATACAAAAAAATGAATGAATCAATAAAAATTACCACAGGAATGAAAAAAGAATGAATGCATGGCTGGTTATACATCAGACCTGGACACCATTAGGAAGTCAGCTGGACATCAGATCAAAGTGAAAGTGAATATTTGCTCATGTTTCTTGTAAAGCTACTTGAGCTAAATCACAGTAATTGTGATGTTCTCCTGTTGCTTTAACCAAATGAACCCAGATAAACAAAGATGATTCTCTATGTGACATGTCTTCCATATACAGTCGTCCTTAAATTTAATCATACCCTTCCATTAAAGTAGGGAGAAAAAACAGCTGTCACTGAAGTAAGTTGAAATTGACAAAAGTAATCACAGATGAAAATTTAATGAACATCATGACAGTGCTTTTGAATTGTGGTTCAACAGAAATATTTTTAAAAAAACAAACAAAAAAAAAACAAGCATGATAGGACCCGTAAACTAATATTTTGTTGAACAACCCTTTGAGCCAATCACTGCAATCAAGTGTTTTCTGTAACTCTCAATCAGACTTCTGCACCTGTTGACAGGTGTTTTGGTCCACTGCTCATCAGAAATGTGCTCTAATTGGTCCGGGACAGTTTTTATATTTTTTTTAACTATTCTTTTCAACCACAATTCAAAAGCAATGTCTTATTGTACTAAATTATAATTTAGCACATTTTTATTTATTATTACTTTTTTCAGTTTCTAGTTATTTGAGTGACTATTGTGAATTTTGCCTTTTCTTTAATGGAAGGATTTGAATACATTTGAGGACGACTGTAGAACTTGCAAATATACCTTCAGCCGATTTAACATTTCAGGTTTTAACTTGTACTCCAGTTATAACTCCATCCTTGTTTAATGAACTAGCTGACTTATTATTAATCTTGCATTTTTCTGTGTACACGTATAGGATGACTTTCACAACTAGATGTGAAATCTGTAGTTGTGGTTTTTTCCATGTTTTACCTTCTTTTTTTCCTCATTGGTGTGTGAAAAAGAAGTTTGCGTATCTCTTAACAGCATCAACTGAAATCTTTAAGACACAATAAAGACAGCACATCCTCCTTGATGAATAATGGCACACACATGCTCTATGTTTCCCCCGTTGCCCCTCTCATTTTCATACACGTATTTCTCTTGTTTTTAGGTTGTTGCGACAGATGCAGACAGTCCTGAGTTTGGTGCTCTGCTCTACTCTCTGTCTGACGGCTTTGACAAACAGGACAAACATCCCCTCTTCCAAATCCACCCACACACAGGAGAGCTGTGTGTCTCGCAGGATATCGATCGAGATGCAGGACAGACGGTCCACGACATTCTGATCAAAGCTGAGGATCCAGTGAGTGGGCTTTTTCATGACTAATCACCTCTGACATACTGGTGTAAATGACTCTGTAAGAAGATCAAGTTGGATTCGACTTCCAAAATGTAGTCTCTTCATCCGTGTTCCTAATAAAACCCTCTTCTTTCCCATTCAGGGAGGCCTCAGCGCTCAAACCTACGTGCACATTGAGGTCGAGGACTTGAATGATAACGTTCCAGTGTTCAACCCTGAAGAGTACACCGTGAGCGTCAGCAGTCATGCACAGCCGGGCACAGAAATCGTCAACGTTATCGCTACCGACCGAGATTCTGGCAGGTTTGGACGTGTCACCTACGATATCGTCCCTGGCGACATGTCCAGTTTGTTTGCACTGGAAAAAGAAACAGGTAGGGGCATTAAAAAATGTAGGCACTGACATTAGATTGACAGAATTTTCAGCGTTTCAGCGTCTCCAAGTAGCAGCAGGTTGTGTTTTAATTTTGATGTGGGCTGGAGTTTCAAACTGTATTTAAATGACTTCTCAAGCTTGATTTGTCACATATATCCACTCACTAGTCTTTAAGTAACTTGTTTGACTGGCAGCTCCAGTATTCAGGGATAAACAACTACTTACTTTGTGTAAGTCCACGTGATATGATTGCCAGTGTCACCGCTCAGCAGGGGCGGTTGCAGAAAGCCCAAAAGCTTTAGATCCCCATGTGGCTGAGGGTCAGATACGATTTGCACTCAGCCACGATGTAACACGAAACACTCAAAACAGGTAAATCAAGGAAACATTTTTAAAGTTGCTCGTGTGTTTCTCGCTGCACATGAATGCTTTTCCAACTAAGTACGTGATGTAAGCAGGAGTTCTGATTCCCGGTTGGCTCTTGTACAGGCTTCATGTTTGCTGCTCTGGGATTGCTCGGTGAATTTAGGTGACAAAAATGAGTCACATTCTTAAGCCATCTGTCGTCACATGGCTGTCTGACCACTAATAACAGTAAACAAACAGATTTGTTTACCGCTGATGAACTCTGTTAACAGTTTGAGGTTAAACAAAACAATTTTAAGTCACATCAGATTTGAAAAGAATCAGAAAATAGCCATTTTCATGTTGGAGTAAATTTTTTCTAATCAAATAATATTTGATTTAATCATGTTTATTTAAAATATAATTCTTTGGATGAAATGTAATTAGTCAATAAAATGCATTATTATTTTTCAGAGCCTAAGGTGATGTATTATAGCAACTTGTTTTGTTAGCCAGCAGTTCAAAACCCCCAAATATTCTACTTATACTAATATGAAATAAGCAATTTCTCACATTTGGAAAGCTTAAACCAGAGAAAGACTTTTGTAAGACATGATCTGTCAATCAAAACACTTGTTGATTTCTGCTGATAAAATAATCTTTATTCCAACTTCTTAAAAAAAAAGGAAAAGAAAAAGATAAAATGGCAAACCTTCACTTAGATGCTATTGAGATGACGTTCAGATATAAACCGGAAAGATTGTCTGGCTCGAATGTTGCAGTTAAACTAAACCTAACTTTACCTTGTGTCCTTCCCCATAGGAATGCTGATCCTGACCTCCACTCTGACCCACCTGGGCACCGTCAGTGTGAAACTCTCCATAACAGCTCAGGACGGGGAGGGCTTGACCTCAGCCAGACCCGCAGAGGTCACAGTCAACGTTTTACGAAGCGTTCAGGCTCCAGCTGTGTTCCAGAGGTCACGCTACTCTTTCACAGTGCCTGAAGACGCACCGCTGGGGACGTCCGTAGGGACCGTGGAGGCCATCAACCCAACCGGTAAGAGGGTTTTAGAGGGTCGACTGATGAGGTTTTCTCAGGGCTAAAGCCAGTTATCGCTAACCAAGGTGGCAGATACCCAATATTTGCAATAAAAATGGATATCTTGGTGTCAAAATTTACATGAACATAAACTTCACTGCAATGCTTTTGCATATATACATTTCACCAGTGTTTCACTAAAGGAACTCTTTTCAACATTTATCCTTTGGCGTTAATAGGTAGAGGGCATTAGTTTTATATAAACATGGACAAAATCTCTGTGACTACAGGTCAACTTAAGAGCGGTTTAGTAGCTCAGTGTGGTGGCTCTGTCACCATCATGGCAGTGCTTCTTATTCTAATCCAGAAATAAGCAAATATACGAAGTGTGTCAGAAAAGTTCCAAGACTGGTGTCACAATAGATATATTTCAAATCCAAACTACTAACTACTAAAATTTCCCCTTCGAAGCAATGCCCCTGGATTCTAACACACTTTCCCAGCCTTCTCTGCCACGCCGCCATGCACTCTTGATGTCGTCCACGTCTTCACAACGGGTCCCCTTGATGACCCCCTTGAGCTTGGGGAGGAGTAAAAAAAAAAATCCCATGGAGCCAGGTGGGGTGAGTAGGGAGGTTGCTCCAGCACGGTGATGTTCTTCTCAGCCAGGAACTGTAGGATGCTCAGGGCATTGTGAGCGTTGTCATGGTGAAGCAGCCACGACTTGTCCAACTCTCGCCTCTTGCCTCTGATCGTCTGAAGGGAAAACTCGTAGTTTGTGTTTGAAATATATCTTTTGTGACACCAGTCCTGGAACTTTTCTGACACACCTCATACATTTCACCTATGTTTAATTAAAGGAACTCTTTGAAACATTTATTCTTTGGCGTTCATAGGCAGCGGACATTAGTTTTATATAAACATGGACAAAATCTCTGTGACGTCGCCCACAGGTCTCCTTAAGAGCGGTTTAGTAGCTCAGTGTGATGGCTCAAAACTATAGACCATGAGTAGAGCTGAGGTAGACGATGCAAACATATCAGGGCTGTTGACTGTCCCGTCTGTCACTCAAAGCAGCCATTTCCTTTATTATGCGAAGCTTTAAACCTTAATACAATTTAGGCAGGTAAGCTATATAAAAGTCATCTCCTGTATAGTATCTGATAATTGTCTGTACCAATAATAACTTGTCCATGTGCTACCAGACAGAAGAGCATACCACTGAAGAAACTGTAGGGATTGTTGTAAAGAATCTACAATGTCAAAGCTACAGCTGATCCTGGTTCAGGGCATGCATGTGATCAAATATGAAAGTTGCTATTAAAAGTTACATTGCTGTGATACATGATGATAAATGGTTGGTCAAACCCAGTAAAGAAATGCAAGTCAGTTTTGGAAAGTTTAAATCGTGTGCAAGGATTTGCATCTTGAAATTTCTGTTAAAAAACAATAGTTACTGCACCTGTTTTGAATGTGACTGATATTGTGCACAAAGGCAGCTTTGAATAGGATTTATCCTGACAGATGACTATGGCAAAAAACAGTGGAGTGATCTCTGTCATTCGTCAAATCTGCTTCCAGACATGAAGAGAGCAGCGGTAAATAGGAAGGCTACGGTTTAATCTTTAATCCTCCTGAAGCCACATGAAGTCATGACAGATAATAAAGGCTCACAGCCAGTTGTACTGTATATTTTATCTGCACTCTTAGAGGTCACACACATCATAAATCTGCTCAGACTTGTGTCTTTTTCTTTTGTTGTTATAAATATATCTATTCTTTAAAAATGTGTGAGTTCATGTTTTTGTTGTAAGTGCAGGTAAAAGTGAACATTATTTATATTGGAAGGGCAGATACTATTTCTAATTTTTCATCAGAATATTCTAGACCTCAGGCTCCTCTCTGTGGAGGGTTTTCTCAGCTCTCCAGTTTCCAGGATTATCTCACTATAGTCCTTTTGTTACTCCGCTGAGTCCCTTCAACAGCTAAACCCCTCTGCTACGCTAGACAGTCATTTAAGGCTGTCTAATCAATTAACAGATTAACGCCTCAACTTAAAGCACAAACAACAGAACTGGGTTTGTTTGACAGGGGTCGGCCTGCGCTAAGCTCTTTGCTTGTTTCAGTGGTTTGTAGTTACCGCTGAAGTGCAGCAAACACTCGGAGGGGATTTAACGGGATCTTCTGACCGGCGCTGTAATTACTTAATGTAGCTTAGTGTGTGGGTGTGTGTGGGTGTATTTATGTGTGTGAGGGAGATGTGTGTTCTCATGTCAGTAAAACAGCTTGCAGTGTGTTTTTCCGCCCAATTTAAACCTAATGTTTATATCCTTAAATATATCTGGATGTGACGCTACTTGGCTGTTTAAAATACTATAAATCCCTGAACCTGCACACTGAGGAAGTGGCTGTTCTACTTTAACTTTACAAACCAATTAACCCAACACAGAATATGTTAAGAGACTACTTGTGTGTCTGTGCGTATGACAGCTGTGGCCGCAGATGTTATGTTTTCTGGTTTTTCGCCTCATTCTTGTGAGCATAATATCTGTTTAAACGTTTTTAGGGAATTTCTTCAATTTTGGCACAAACGTTCACTCAGAAGCAAAACGATGAACTGATTAGATTCTGTAGTCGTCAAAGGTCAAAAGTCAAACATCATCAGTCCTCCCACAACACTCACACAGTCCAGCATTTTAGGCTTTAACTGTTAAAAGTGTCTTAACATTTTAGTTTTGTTTATTTTGGCGCTTGTGTATGACTAGTTACCTTTGAGACACTAAATAAAATTAACACACGACTTCATGTTTTGTACAAAAGTCTGACTGATAAAAATTACAAATTATATGTATGTTTTTATTCTCTCTTAGCTGTTGCCTTGCAAATAGTTTGGTTTGGCCTTGTTTTGAGAAATAGCAATACACTGGAGGTAAATAGAGGGTAAAGTTTATTTGTGATGCCAATAGGAATAAGAACAAATTCCATTTTAAAAAAAATATCTCCTAGAAAAAGCAGCTTTTTATAGTCTACAGACTCTGTGATCCTTCTCTTTGGACCTACTTTCTAGTGATGAAATTGTCCCTATAAAAGCTGTCAGAGTAATGAGGACAGTAGCTGTGTCACAACGTTTAGATGCTAATTTTCATCAGATTTTTAGTGTGTAGGATGTTCACATTGGGGGAAAAATAGAATATAGTCAGTTTATAATAAAGGTCTGATACAGAAACACCACAGGAAACAAAGATGAGTCATAGATCTTTGAAGTTTGTGTTATGTAAGAATAAAACAGCAACTCATGTTTATTACTTTACAACAAACAGTGTGCTGTCAGGATTAGAACAGTACACAATGCCTGCTGTAATAAGACAAGAGGGCACGGGAGCTTTTTATCCAAGGTTGCATTTTTGGAATGTAATTTTTTAAAATTTTATTGCTGAGAGGACTGTTGGACCATTTTCTTTGACACAAAACTGACAAATTTTTACTACTAAACCAAAACCACCTGCATGTTTCCATACAACCACTAAAGGTTGGTGAGATGTTCTGTCTTTCAAATCTCAGTGAGAAACTGTTTGTCTTCACAGACTCTGTGGAATCTGCGTCTTACCGAATCTCTTCTGGAGACCCTCAGAGTTTGTTCTCCGTTCATCCGAAGTCCGGTCTGATCAGCATCGTCAAACCTCTGGACCACGAGTCTCAGCCGTACGCTCTGCTGGTCCTCCAGTCCTACACCGACACCTCTCCTGTTTACAGCACCACGCAGGTCAACATCACCATTGCCGACGTTAACGACAACGCCCCCGTCTTCCCCAAACGCAGCGACTCGATCACAGTGTCACAAAACACTCCAGCAGGAACGGTGTTGTTCATCGCTCACGCACACGACTATGACAGCGGCACCAATGGGAGGGTGCAGTACTACCTGAGGAACAGCAGAAACGGTACGTTTGTTGTTGACCACAACCTTGGAACAGTTACATTAAAACAGAGTTTACAGGCGGATCGTCAGCAGAGCTACAGCCTGGAAATCGTAGCTAAAGACGAAGGAGAGCCTTCTCTGAGCTCCACACTGACCCTCTCAGTGAACATAGACCGGACGGCTGCAGAGGACAGCCTGGCCTTCGAGACGCTCGTCTACCAGGTGGAGATCGGTGAAGGCTACCGTAAAGACTCTCGGGTCATCCAGGTGAGGGCTCACCGGACTCGGGGAGCTCATATGTCAAACTCAGGCCTCACTTACTCTTTGGAGGCAGAAGCTGGGTTCCCTCCAGCTCCGTTTCGGATTCACCCAAAGACTGGATGGTTGTATCTTTCCCAAAGCCTCGACTACGAGACAGAGTCCAGGTATCGTTTTAAAGTGTTGGCTACAACCAGGGAGGCCTCACTGGCAAACACCACGGCTACAGCCTCAGTGATAGTGCTGGTGCTGGACATCAATGACAACGCCCCGGTGTTCGGCAGTGACGTCTACTACTTCACCGTGTCAGAGGGCTCATCGCCACAAGGCCTGGTGGGAACCGTTAAAGCCATCGATAAGGATTCTGGGAAAAACAGCCAGCTGTCCTACATCCTGCTTTCAGATGGGAAGTTCTTCCGCATCAATTCTAAAACAGGTACAACAATCACAGCGTCTATGAGTCACCATGTGCTTTACTGTGTTGAGCAGCTTCCCCATCCTCTGCCTTCTCTATCCGTCCAGGCGAAATCATCAACTGGGTGGCGTTGGACCGGGAGCAGCACAGCCAGCACAGTCTGAAGGTGATGGTGACAGATCAGGGTCACCCTCGTCTCAACGCCACCGCCACCGTTCACATCCTGATCACCGACGTCAATGACAACGCTCCAACGTTTACACACCTGCCAGCCAGCAAAGAACTGAATGTGCAGGTAGGCAGGAGTCATTTCTAGGTGTCCACTGGTTAAATCTTAAAGGGTTTTCATCTGAATAAATGTCTGTTAACTGAGGAAACACAATTTGCATTTATAGAACTGTGTGTCATTCCCATGAAAAATCACAAGTTATGTACAGTTAGCAACGTATGCTCCAGCAGTTAACGTTCTTCATGGGAGAGCAGGCGGAGCTAAAGCGACCGATACGTTCTTCTACTCCCCTGTGTGTGTGTGAGGTAGCTTCTGTTCGTCCTCTACTGTCATCTCAGAAGACACGATTCCCTTTTTGACTTTCTGGTTGCTTTGACCTCAAATTGTTTCGGAGGTGTTGCCCAGTCATCACACAGACGACACTGTTTCTGTCTCCGTGAAATGAGGTTTAGAAAGACACACAGCTGCAGCGTATCACTGTAGATGCTGCCAAAGAGAACCAAACGGAAATCTTCAGCATTACAACTTGAAGGCCGGCTACAAACTGCCATTTTAACAAAT